GATTGCTTTTTAGTTTCACTTTCACTTTCGAGATTCGCAATCGCACATACTCTGTTTATACTATGGAGCGGCAGTACTTACCACACATTTTACAAGATTAGATGTTTGTCAGTGGTGCTCAGGATCTGCAAATCATTCGCCATCGTCCTCAGTCATTTCTCTTTACTCTGTTTATGTGGTAAGTGAAATTTTATGTACTGTAATGTAACAGGCAACCGTTACACCGTGTCTACACCGGACGCGACAGTTGTCATGTCTTGTCACGCCGCATCAGCTAAAGTCTGTCTACACTGGATGTGACAAAGCGACCATTGAAAATCATTTAAAATTTGTGTCAACACGTCATAAATAGAACGCGGCAGCAGTTTACTGTGGGGGATTTGACGTGTCGCGCCGCGCCACATCCAGTGTAGACAGCATTACTGATAATAAGTTCTATACACTGATCTATATATAATGAATCTCTATTATAGATCAGTGGTTCTATAGTATTTTGTCGCACCGCGCCGCTCGCGTCCGGTGTAGACACAGTGTTAGGAATTGTTATTTGTTTTCCGTGCCTTATAAGGATTCACGCTTTGGGCACCCCCCCGCCCCCGCCGATGTCATCGCCCATCGTGATGTTTCACTGTAGACATCGTCCGATGCCAATTTTGTAGACATCGCCCAACCCTACTGTCCGCCTCTGAACTGACCATGCATACTTAATTATGATTATGAATAATCAAACTAGTTGTCATGTAGACAAATACTAATGAGTTGCACATTTCAGCCTGGTTCTTGAAAGATATTATTTTCTTATTTTTTGTGTGGAACATGTTTTTGTAATGACCCAAGGTGCACCAATTTATTTTTACACTTCGTTGTATACATACAGACACAATTTGTTTAAAATTTTGATATCCTGACTAATATAATATCAGTGGCCTAGAAAAAGCTATTTTAATCAATATCAGGGATGCACAATGTAGCAAATCTCAAAATTAATATCCATTTTTCATACTGTACATTATAATGATGCCTAAATTCACTTGTAGCATTTAGAATGACTGATTTTAGTTTTCAGTGTTTTATTTGTTATTTATTCAGACAAAATAGTATTTTTAATTTTAGTGTCTACATTTCTCAGTTACTTGAAAACGCAGAAGAGTTAAGAATACACAAACAGTCACCTGACCTTGAGCAGACTGTAAGACCCTGCGTAATGGGGTACTGATCATCTAAGCAAAGGTGGGGCTGCATTTCAATAAGCTCACACACAGTCATATGCACTAATCTCACTGGCGCACTGATCACACAGACTGCATCCTGGTGTCCTTTGACAGGAAGTGAGGTGCTTCCACTGCCACGGTCAATGGTGACCACAGTATCAGAAAAAACCAGTGTCACATTTCTGCTGCCATATTAACACACAACAGAGAAATCCACACTACTTCACTGCCAAACCAAACTGAAAGCTCATATTAAAGTATTTTACATTTTATATATATATATATATATATATATGGGTATATAAAGTGGGTACGGAAAGTATTCAGACCCCCTTCAATTTTTCACTCTTTGTTATATTGCAGCCATTTGCTAAAATCATTTAAGTTAATTTTTTTTCCTCATTAATGTACACACAGCACCCCACATTGACAGAAAAACACAGAATCGTTGACATTTTTGCAGATTTATTAAAAAAGAAAAACTGAAATATCACATGGTCCTAAGTATTCAGACCCTTTGCTCAGTATTTAGTAGAAGCACCCTTTTGATCTAATA